AGTTGAAGGCCACCAGAGTACTGAGTGTACCAGTACTCCATGCTGTGTTAACTGCAACGATGCCCATCCTGCCTACTCTCGGAAATGCTCTGCATGGCAGAGAGAGAAAGAGATTCAGCGGGTGAAAACTGTAAATAACGTATCCTATCCAGAGGCTCGACGCATGGTCACCTTAAGCGCTCCTTTGAAACAGAAGAGTTTTGCGGCTGCATTGAAGTCTACAAAGACAATTGGGGTTCAAACAGATATTTCTGTTTCTCCAAAGGAATCTCTTACTCGCCATGCGAAATGTTTAATACTCCCATCACAAGAAACACCAGCAAAGGAGAGTACAAAAGCAAAAACACCCCTACCTAAACCAGGGGTAATAACGAGAAACTTAGGCTCCAAAAAAGCAAGCAAGAACCCGCTAAACAAACAGAGAGTTAAAGCTGCTCTCTCTAAATCTAAAAAATTAGAGGCACAATCTATGAGTGAGTTCTCTGACTTCTCTGAAGAAGAGACCCACAAGGAGGTTACAAAACCAATGTCACCTCCAAAAGAGAAACTTCCTATTAAATTAAAGAGGGATACCCTCGCAAAGAATGCTGCCTCAAACACATAATGGATTATAAAATAATTCAATGGAACTGTCGTGGTTTTCGCAACAACTTCTCTGACATTAAACACTTGACATCATCTACCCCATCTCTCTGTGTGGCACTTCAGGAGACTCATTTGAAACCAGGAGAAAATATTACTTTAAAAGGATTCAATCTCTATCGCAAGGATGATGATAGCCACAACCGCGCCAGTGGAGGTGTGGCTATTGTAGTTTCAAATCACATCCCATCTTTGCCGGTACAAATAACATCTGATTTGCAAGCTGTGGCAGTCAGAATTTCTATTGGAGTAACTGTCACAGTTTGCTCTATATACTTGCCACCAGATGTCAGAGTCTATGAGGATGAATTGGATGCTTTGGTTGAACAGCTGCCGACTCCATTCCTTTTACTGGGTGATTTTAATGGCCATAATTCAATGTGGGGCAGTCCAGACATCAACAGGCGAGGCAGAACCATTGAAAGATTTATAGGCAACCAGCAACTGTATTTATTTAATACTGGAGAAGTGACATACTTTCATGCCCCTACAAGAACATTCACTGCCATTGATTTGTCCTTAGCTAGCCCAAACCTGTTCTCAGCATTTATATGGGAGGTTGGATCTAATCCACTCTCTAGCGACCACTTCCCAATATTTCTAAAATACCGAGGCAGAGAAAGCTGTGAAACAGCCCGTCCACCACGCTGGAAACTGGAAACAGCAGATTGGCCTGCATTTCCTCTTTGGCTAACATCACTGAGGAAATGGTCAATACTGCTGATATCAATGATGCAGTTGCATTTGTCACTTCTACTATTATTCAGGCAGCTGAAAAAACAATGGGGAAAACATCAACAAGATACCCAAAGCATCTGAAACCATGGTGGAACTAGAATTGTGAGGCAGCATTTAAAGCACAAAAGAAAGCATGGGGGATTTTCAGAAGATACCCCACTGCTGAAAATTTGGTTGCTTTTAAAAAAGCAAAGGCAAATGCCAGAAGAGTTAGAAGGCAAAGGCAAAGGGATTCTTGGAGGAAGTATGTTTCTAGCATAACATCTTCCACTAGCTCAAACGCAGTTTGGGATAAAATCCATAAAATTAATGGGAAATATGATTTTCACTCTCTGTTTATGCTGGAAAATAATGGCACAATAATCAGTGATATACAGGGTATTGCTGACACGTTGGGTGGAACGTTTTCTACTTCATCTAGCAATATTATGTATTCAAGAAATTTTCAGGCTTATAAAGCCCAAAGTGAAAAACAGTGTTTAAACTTTCACTCCTCATCTAATGAGGAATATAATGTGCCATTTACCAGCATAGAACTACATACAGCGATCTCTCGCTCGGGGAACAGTGCGGTAGGCCCGGATAAAATCCACTACAGCATGATTAAAAATCTGTCAAACAATTCCCTTTATAATCTCCTGCATCTGTTTAACAGAATATGGACAGAACATACTTTTCCTGACTCTTGGAGGCTATCTATCATTATTTCTATTTCCAAGCCTGGTAAAGACCACAAGACTCTTTCTAATTACAGACCAATCTCTCTGACAAGTTGCCTGTGTAAACTCTTTGAGAGGATTGTAAACAAACGTCTGATGTATCTCTTAGAGAAAAATGAATACTTTTCACCACATCAGAGTGGTTTTCGTAGGAACAGAAGTACCGCTGATAACTTAGTAAACCTTGAAACATCTATACGCGAAGCGTTTGTTAGATGACAGCACTTAGTGTCAGTATTTTTTGATATAGAGAAGGCCTATGATCGCTGTTGGCGTTATGGGATACTTCGTGATCTGTACCAGTTCGGATTGCGGGGCAATTTGCCAATTTTTATAAAAAACTTTTTACAGAATCGAAGATTCCAAGTTAGAATGGGCAAGACACTATCTAGGCTCTTCACCCAAGAAGAAGGTGTTCCTCAAGGTTCTATTTTGAGCGTGACTCTGTTCCTAATCAAAATCAACAGCATAGCTAACTGTCTTTTTCCCAGTGTGAAACACTCTCTGTATGTGGATGACTTTCAGATCTCCTGCCAGTCTAGCAACATGAGTTTTATCGAGAGACAACTGCAAACCTCCCTAAATCGCATAGACCATTGGTCAAAGATTAATGGTTTTAATTTCAACATAGAGAAGACCTCGTGTATCCACTTTTGCCGAAGGCGTGGTTTGCACCTGGATCCAGAAATTTACCTAAATGGGGATAAAATCCCAATGGTGAATGAGACTAAGTTTTTGGGTGTTTCTTTCGACCAAAAACTGACATTTTTGGCACTTGCGCAACCTGAAGAGTAGATGTTTAAAATCTCTAAACCTTTTAAAGGTATTATGCTGCTCATCCTGGGGAGCAGATAAAGTTTCAATGCTCAGGATTTATAGGGCCCTTGTTCGCTCTAAGCTGGACTACGGTTGCATTGTTTATGGCTCTGCGCGAGAATCTACTCTTCGGATGCTGGATCCAATCCACCATCAAGCTTTGCGTTTGTGCACCGGTGCATTTCGAACTTCCCCTGTTCAAAGTTTGTATGTGGATGCTTATGAGCCTCACTCTCTCTCAGGAGAGAACAGTTGTCTCTCTTCTATTACATTAAACAAAAATCTCAGAAAAAACTTACAGCTGATTGTTCAGATACTCAGCTGAAAAGATTATTTGCTGCTCGGACGAGTTGTGTCCCCACATTTGACATAAGAATGGAGAACGTAAGCAGCACGATTGACTTAGACACAAGCAACATCTCACATGTTGAGGTTAATAGTATTTCACCTTGGTCATCTTCACCGATGGATGTTGATCTAAGCTTAAAGCAGTTTTTTAAAGAAACCACGCCAGACTACGTCTATAGACAGCACTTTGCAGAAATTCAGCATTGTAACAGGAATTTAATTCCTATATACACCGATGGATCTAAGTCGGATAACTATGTTGGCTTAGCCTTTGTTTGCCAGGATGAAATTGTGGCAGAACAAATAGCACCGAATTCTTCCATCTTTTCTGCGGAGTTGCAGGCTATTTACTTAGCCTTAAAGCATATAAATCGGAAAGGTCATCGTTGCTGCGTGATTTACACTGACTCAGTTAGTGCACTTCAGGCTTTGATCTCGTATGAACCTAGTTCTCACTCTCTAGTTATTAAAATTCAGAAACTAATTTGTCATCTCACTACAAGAAATTTATTTGTGAAGTTCTGTTGGGTCCCAGGCCACGTGGGTATAAGAGGTAATGAAGAAGCTGATACAGCTGCTAAGTCAGCAAGCCCTTCACAGCATACAATGCATATTGAAGGAGGTGATTTGAAGCTAGTTGTTAAAAAACGACTAGCCGAGAGATGGCAAATCATGTGGAATGCACAAATCCACAATAAACTTTACGAGATCAAACCTTTGGTAGAAAATTGGACACATAATAGGCAATATGATAGGAGATCTGAGGTTATCCTTACTCGTCTGAGAATTGGACACACTCGACTGACTCATCAATACCTTTTGAAGGGAGATGACGAACCAGTATGTCAGCACTGCAACTGTGCTGTAAGTGTTAAACACATATTTTGCAACTGTGTTGCTTCTGATCAGAGTCGTAGACAGCATTTCGGAAATGCAAGCCTTAGAGACATTTTGGGCCAGAGGCCAAATCTGGATAATATACTGGACTTTCTAAAAGTCATTAATATGTATAGGGAAATCTGATGAATTAATTATTGTACAGTTTTATTTACGTTTAGTTGCATATATAAATTATTGTATATATATTTTGTTGTTGTTTGTTTGTTTATTTTTGTTGTCGCTTATTTATTTATTCTTGTTGTTACTTATTTTTTTATTATATTATAGATTTTATATTTATATTACCATTGGCTGTTTAATGGTTAAAGTGTGATGTCTTGTTTTTGTGTATATATGTCTTTCTATTTATTTTCTACTTCGAATTGCACCATGTGTTGTGGCGCAGTATAGCCTGTATGGCTTTTGTGCCAATAAAAGTTAACTAAACAACCAACCTATGGCTCTGCGCGAGGATCTACTCTTCGGATGCTGGATCCAATCCATCATGAAGCACTGCGTTTGTGCACTGGTGCTTTTTGAAGTTCTCTTGTACAAAGTTTGTACATGGATGCTTATGAGCCTCCACTCTCTCTTAGGAGAGATCACTTGTCTCTTTTTTATTACATTAAGCAGAAATCCCAAGCTAAACCATCAGTTGACTGTACGATATCAGATATGCAACTGATAACATTATTTGTAGCTTGCCCAAGCTGTGTTCCTACATTCAACATAAGAATGGAGAATGCAATCAGCACGATTGACTTGAATACAAGCAACATTTCACAGGCTCAGGTTGATAGTATACCACCTTGGTCAACCTTTGAGATAAATGTTGACTTTAGCTTAAAGCAGTTTCCTAAGGAATTTACTCCAGACTATATCTACATACATTACTTTGCAGAAATTCAATAGCAAGACAAGAATTTAATTCCTATTTATACTGACGGTTATAAATCGGACGAATATGTTGGCTCAGCTTTCGTTTGCCAGGATGAAATTGTGGCAGAACAAATTGAATTGAATTCATTTGTATTTACTGCAGAGCTTCAGGCTATTTACCTAGCTTTAAAGTATGTATTCAGAAAAGGTCACTGTTGTTGCGTGATTTATACTGACTCAGTTAGTTTCCTTCAGGCTTTGATTTCTTGTGAACTTTGTTCCCACTCCATCGTGATTAAAATTTGTAAATTGTAATGCCATATTCTTGCAATGAATTTCTCTATAAAATTTTGTTGGGTCCCAGGTTATGTAGGTATAAGAGGAAATGAAGTAGCTGATGCAGCTGCAAAGTCAGCTAGTTTTTCACAGCATACAATGCATATTGAAGGAGGCGATTTGAAGCTACTTATTAAGAAACGACTAGTGGCGCGATGGCAAAATGTGTGGAATGCACAAGTTTACAATAAACTACATGAGATCAAACCTATGATAGAAAATTGGACACCTAATAAATATTACGACA